CTTTATCTTTCACCTCCTCAAAAATCTCATTTCGCTTCCAATTCTGTTTTTCAATTTTTAAGAAATACTGAAGAATACCATTGTAACGAACAAATTGTTTACATGTACTGTAGTCGATACTTAAACATTTCTCAGAAAATGCTTTTTTAATATCTGCAGACACATTGCTTACTAGTTGCATTTTTTTACTCCCATCTTCATTTTGGAAAGCTAGCAAATATCGAAAATTTCCTGCATTTTCTTTTGAACCTATGTAAACAACATCAAACAATATTTTTCCTGTATGCTCGCGTTTGTAAAAATAGGCAAATAATTCATTGAACAGATCTATGAATAAGAAATCACTGTAATCTTTCTCAGAATTTGAATATTCTCTATCACTAAATAATGTTTCTTTTGAGGTTGAAACTGATGATCTATGCATAGAAATAATATGTTGTTTTAGTTCCATACATCGACCTTCCCAGAGACACAAAGGAACTAAACACTGATATAATCTGAAATTACAACTGGCTTGGTGAATTTGAATTTTATGAAGAGGAAGTTTATCAGGGCAACCATATTCTTTGTATTTACAATTATACTGCAGAGATTTAGTGAGAAGTTGTTCAACAAGATGGTTTCGTGCTCCAGTAAATTCATTTCTGCAGATAGGACAATTAATCACATTTGGTCTGCATGTTTCACAAATGTTATGCCCCTGGATGCACATAAATATCTTGGATTGAAATACATTGTAGCAAACAGGACACTCCATTAACTTGAGGGGATGAGCTTCAATGTCCTCAGCTGCCATTTCTTGAAGTAAATTTTAGGACTTCCTGCAAAATGAGAGGCAATTAGATTTGATGCTCATGATTAATAGATATTTGAATATAAAAATCCTTAATGTACTTGAATTAAGTTAGTTGCATTCTTGAAAAATTACATTTGCTTGTCACTGTGTTTGTGAAATGATTCCTTGACGTCAACTGGGTGAAAGTGGTACACAAAAGAATCCGTGAAGAAAGAATGGAGTGCCCTGATATATGTTAACAAATGCCATCCTAAGTAAGATAACTGTGAAGATTCCCTTTTTTGTGAAGTTAACTAACAATTGAAAGGCTGATAAAATACTGGAAGGATCGTTCCACACTAGTTTCCCCACTTCTATTGGAGATAATCCATTACATTTCTTGGCCATGCAAAACAAAGTAATTGTCAGATAATCAAACATTTAATTAATGCACATACCTTCGGAATATCACGCAATTTTAAGGTTAGCCATCCGTGCCAAGCATGAATACTAAATAATAATAAATCATATATATGTATATCTATTTGGTATATTTTTAAGACCTAGCTAACAGAATATATGTCTGAAAACTAGGTTTCTATGAAATATATTCTTTGCCCAACTGTACTCAAACCCAATCGCGAGTTCTCTGAGCTAATCTGGATATCTCTTCACGTTGGTTATTGCGTAACAACGCAGTGATACCAATGTAACAAGTATATTGCTACTTGTGACCATGATGTAAAAACATCATGCTTATGACTATTGTTTTGGAAGACTATCAATTAAACTGTGTTAAGGTATATAATGCGATAATAACGATTAACAACCCTACATAATAACTCCAGTTCTCGAAATCATTGAATTTGCTTTTGGCATTCATGTAAATATATTACGTAAATTATGAATAATGTTTGGTGGACGTGAGGGGTTTCCCCTGTACATCTTGTGTTTCAACTTCGGTTTTTATAACGTGGCGTGTAAGGGCCGGTATTCACAATGGTATATCTCACGGTACATCTCGTCTTGCTGTCAGATGTCGCTTGATCGCGACACAACTAGTGCGCTCTGTGTCGTGACACGACCGAGAAAGGCGCGTAATGCCTTGAGATTTTACATTGTGAAAACGCCTGACGTGCTATGTTAGAAACTCGTTTTTATTGATTTTGAAATTAATCAAGATTCCTGTGCGTGTAGTCATTCATTTCGTGATTTCAAAAAAGGGAATTAAATTTATATTTCGATTTAAACTGAAAAGTTTTGATGATAGAGCAACGGGATAGTGTAACAAAAGCCAGCTGATCAAACGTCATTTCGCCATATGAATTAATCGAACAATCATTTGTCTGGTACTGTGCATGCGCAGAAGATTGTTGCCGTCGATTGCGTAAGCTGTGCCATGCGAAACCTCCATGGTGGAAAGAGATTGCTGGTCTCTTTCGAATCGTATCCTACTTCAGCCAATGAGCTTCAAGCACTAGTTTACGTCACAATATTAGCGGAAATATTAAATGCCAAAATTATCACCTTGTACAAGTTATTGAAACAGGTATGTGAAGCATTTGATTAAATATTGCATCTTTTATTTCAATTACACCTTCATCGTGGACTATTTTTGGTTGTTCCCATTGAAAATTGTCACTTTATGCCACTTTTTAAGTGTTTCTCAACATATCTCGCTCTCCATGCGACATGGCGGCAAACGTCTGGTCTGGCTTTTCAAAGTGCCCGTGTTGTGGTTCGTGACGCAAACTGGTGCTGTGCAGAACGATCTAAAATTGGTGCCCCAGGGGAGCCCACCCATCTCTTTCCACAATGCAAAAGCTCCGTATAGAGATGTCCTGAATGACGTTACAACGTTGACGGAAAAGTGTAGGGTGTCAAGTTTGGAGTGCACGTAAGCGATTCCTAACATAGAGAAGTAGTAAGCTTTTGCGTTATGCGATTGCCGAGGTTTGTGTTTCTTATCACGTTTGCTGTTTGTTGTTATGTTTGCTTTTTTTCAGCTTGTTTAGGTTCTGACAGCTCATCACGTTCTCTTTTAAATTTAATTTAAAGAAACACAATGCTATCCCACCTTTTGAGTTTGAATATGGTTCGAAGAAAGTATTATCATTAGCGATGATACTAATGTACTAATTTATAATAAAATGAAATGTACGAAACATTTGGATCCACGTGCCCTTTCATCGGACATAAAAAGTGCCAACGAATTTCGGGCCCCTGTGCTGTTCGGATAGCAGTGACAGCTACCGATTTTTTCATGAACTTTAGGCTTTTTCAATATCAATTAAAAAAATATTATCATTAAGGGGCGAATTTTGATAACGTAAAATATTGCCAAACTGATCAATAAAAAAGTTCTTAAAGTGTTTTAAAAATAATAAACGTTTTATCGAAAACGGCTCAGGTAAATGAACTGGAGTAGCTTCGTGATATAATCTAGTCGTCTTCCTTTTGTTCAAATGAATTCACTGTCAATCTTCTGAGTTGGACTGTTCCTTACCAGGAAAATCTTTGTCTTTGGTTATCGCGAATACGATCGAATCGTCAATGGCGCCGATGGGCGTCACAGAAAGCTTGGATTGATATAGCCGGCCAACAGCCTTTGGTTTGGGAGAACAGTCCTCCATTGACGTCAATTGTGCTCTCGTCATTCTTTATATTTTAAATGTCCTCCTTTCAGTAAATTTGTAACATTTGTTTTATCTTATGACTAACATTTGCTACACTGTATCGTTTATTGTTTAATTTATAATAGCAAACATGATTATCTTTTTCTGAACGCTAACACAAGCAGAACCATTTTGAACAGTTTTGGAGTCCTTGGGCATAGCTTAATTTAGGGACGCCCTACTCTTACTTTAGCACCCCTTTTTTCTTTGAGTCGCTAAACGGAGACACTATCATGCACGCGTGTGCCCAGGTCCGTGTTACCAATCTCTCCTCCCCCCCGCCCATTTAAAGACACGTTTTGTATTAAAACGTGTCTTTATTTATAACATGTGTTTAGTAAAAAACACTTGACTTCACATCACCGAGTGACATTCTCGCATCAACCAGCAACATTCCATATTATAAATTTCATCCCGACACATCAGTCCCTTATGCTAATTTATTTGCGTATAGTTTAATTATACATCACTTTTATACTTCTTATTTTATTTTTTGAAAACTTTAGTCTTGAATAATTTTTGTAAGAATAATGGGGCCCATCGGGCCCGTGCTTTAACACGGGCCTGGGCACACGCATGCATGATAGTGTCTCCGTTTAGCGACTCAAAGAAACTAGTGGTGCTAAAACAGAACCCACTTTCTCGCTGCTATTTTCACACAAAACTACGTGAAAATTACCCGAATTTCCGAAAAATTGTATATGACCTTATTTCAAAATCTGTATTTAAGGAACGGATTTCATTAAGGGGAAAATCTCTATCTTTAATATTTTTGTTGTAATAAGACTGAAAAAAATTTGAACTTTTGCAACAAAACTTAATCAAAAACGATGAAACCATTGTTTTTTGTTGAAAATTTTGAAGAAGTTCCAGGGGCTTCATGTAAAGTACCCACAAAATTAAAATTTCTGTTTCAAATTCAAAGGGCCGAAACATCAGACATCGCTTGGGGAATATCTGGTTTGGAGAAAATCGGCTGAACGGTTTAGCCGGTAGCGTTGTTCACAGACGGACAGGCGTTTTCTCGTCGTTGGATTTTTTGATATGAAGGGCTCACAAAACATGGATTCTGGCCACACCGCGAGATAGAGGATCCCCCCCCCCCTCCCTTAATTTAGCAACTGGATTTATCTACTTTTTCATTACCAGGTCTCTATAATATGAGTTTTTCTGCCGGAAATTCAACGTTTTTCGCCCAGCATCACATAACTTTCTTTCTACTGTACAGCGAGAAAGTAAAATTTGTATTTGTCTATTTACATCTGACTCTTGGATGCTGCAATGCACAATGCTTGGGTATTGCGCAGAAAATCTTTAGGGCAATCAATAACAAATCTTCACTTCAGAAGACATATTCTCACTACTTATCTAAATATGCAATTCCCTTGTGAGGTTCTGGAAGACTCACTGGTCAAACTCTAAGAAGTTTTACACTCAGTAGAATTTCCTGTAGTCTTGTAGAAGTTCCCTTATAGTTATTATAAATAATTATTAAGGTAGGTATGAACTATACATTCTATCTTTAATACATTTTTTTTTTATTTTTGCAGATTTCCACTCGTGTAGAGACATTTCAAGATCTTTCCTTACCAATTCCAAGTCGAGATCATATACATATGCTTCATCAGGGTTCGTTAACCCCACAAAAAGGAGGATTGTCTGCATGCTCTGATGTTTACACTGGAGAACAAGTAAGATATATTTAAGCAGTGCTTGATTTGTAAACATTTAAGTACCAGAACACATGACAAATTGATTAATTTTATATAAATTTGTTGTTTTTGTATTAATTTATCAATTAATAACTACAAATAACCTTTTTAATAAATATAATTTGAATTAATGCATATTGTAAATAATAGTATCTTTATATAATTATAATTATCATTATCATATCTGTTTCAACAATTTTCTTACTTTATTTTGTGTATATGTAGACATGAAGGAGGTGAATTAATCATAAATTCCCGTTCCAATATGTAGTAAATTACTACATATCTATTTAACGTAGTCGCAGAAGCCTCGAGTTAGTTCATACGAAATTTCGTGGGATATATTTTTGAGAAAATCGGCAGCTGGTTTAGGCGCTCGCGTTAACCACAGACGGACAGACACGTTTTGCCGTCAATTGATTTTGCGGTTTCAACGACACATAAAACAGGGATTTCGGTTACACCACGCGCTAGAGGAAGTAATTTAATATACATGGGAATATGATTTATCCACTTTTTCATTACCAGGGTTTGTCAATAAGATATTTTCTGACGAAAATCGCCGATTCCGGCGCACGCTTTTACTCTTCTTGCGAAGGGCGAGAAAGTAAAAACAGAGCTACAATTGCAGTAAATAATGAAAGTATTGTCTAGCCTATCATTTTTCAACTTTCCTGCTTTTTACGCTATTTGCATCCTCTGAAAAGTGTAAAAAGGGGGTTTTACTGATTGTTTTGCATTAATTGAAGTTATTTCATCTAAAAATGAATGTAATTAAGCATTTGTCAGCTCAATGTTTTTTCTGTATCATTTCAAACGTGAAGAGGTTCTGGAACGCCATTCCAGTGCGTTCCCCCTCAAATCAAGCCTTGCATCAACTATAGTAATAAAAAATCTACAATTTATAAAAACATTTTGCAAGTGAAGAACACTTAACTTCGATAAACAAATTATAAGTCATTATAACAATTAGTTGTTGCTGGTAACATGTGAATTGCTTATAACATTTTTTGTCTTAAATCTATTAGATGCATCCTTATTTATTCTGCATTAGCATCAGAAGGCTTCTTTGCTCTTTGGTTTTATTCTGCATTAGCATCAGCAAAGGCTTTGTATCAGAAGTGTTGTGTAATACATACAAAATCATTGTATTTCGAAGAATATGTAGAAGAGATGATTATTGTTGTTGTTGATTTAAAAAATTGCTTAATATTATTGCACTTAAATAGAATAAAAGGTATTCAGTTTTGTGAAAAAATGTACAGAACTGAATACATACATTATCCTCTCAAATATATTAATACATTCTAGTTAACTTTCCCAGGTGAATTTTGTATAGAATAGTTAATGAAAGGAACTGACAGGAAGCTATGTGCAATGCAACTGATGCAATTTATTTTGAGGAAAAATTTACTTCTGAAAAAGTAAAGAAGTTTCTAGAAGAACTATTCCCTTGTAGCGTCAACCATGAAGTATGTATGTTACGCCAGTCATGTATGAAGGGGAAAAGTCAATTTTGAGAAAAAACTATGAAACCTAGAAACATAAGCTTTGCTATGTAGTTGGAAAGAAAGTGCTTCAGTCCATAAGAAACATTTTTAAAAATGAACTAATGGGCAATATTGTTAATGCTAGTAAATGTTTTTAGGAGTGAAAGCACTTCTAACATTAGTGCTGACAATAATTCTTCAGTATTATAATTTGAGATATGAAAATGTTCCAATTTTTATTTTTTTTATTTTGAAGATATTGAATAGTGACTAAAATTACTTATTAATTTAATTATATTGTAGGGTTGGGTATCGTGGATTTTAGAATGGGTTCGCAGTTGGTTTTGGGGGCCTACGATTAGTTTACACGATTGTTTGGCTGCATTCTTCAGTGCTGACGAGTTAAAAGGTGACAATATGTATAGGTATGTTTTTAAATTTACTTCTGAATTTGAGATTAAATCATGTGTACTACGAATTATAATTAATGAAATTAATTTAATAAACACGTTTCAGTTGTGAAAAATGTAATAAATTACGCAATGGAGTTAAATATTCTAAAGTTCTGGAACTTCCAGAAGTACTGTGTGTCCACCTGAAACGTTTCCGTCATGAATTGATGTTCAGTTCGAAGATAAGTAATTATGTGTCCTTTCCTTTGGAAGGTTTGGATATGAGGCCATATTTACATAAAGGTTTGTTATGAAATTAATGGCAATGAAATATCTTTGTTTCTAATTCCATTAATAAGAAATATAAAGAAACATTATAATTTTTAGATTGTACATCACAAGTGACAAGTTATGACTTAGTATCAGTAATTTGCCATCATGGCACTGCTGGTGGGGGTCATTACACTTGTTATTCACTTAATTACATCAGCGACCAGTGGTTTGAGTTTGATGATCAGTATGTGACACAAGTAACTCCAGAAACTGTGCAGAACTGTGAAGCATATGTTCTATTCTACAAGTAAGTGTTTTGCAGGTAACCTATTTTTTTCGTTAGTGGAAGCCAATAATTTTTTCTTTGTACTAGGAATTCTAATTTACTACAAATTCCAAGAAAGATGAAATAATAGTAGAATGTGACTAGGGTTGGTTCCTTAGTGCTATTATTTTCATCAAGAACAAAATTATTGAGTATAAAAAAGGAAAATATTAAATTAAGCTTTTGATGAAATGATTGCATCTCAGAACTAACACACATGAATTGTTAAAAGAACATTTACAGTAATTCCATTAAAAATTTAAAACTTTGTCATTATATTATCACTCCATTATAAATATTTTAAAATAAATATCACAAAATAAGTTTATTTTTTGGGGTAAATTGTTCTTTACGTGTTTGTTTCAGAAAATCGTGTGATGTAATTGCTAAGAAAAGACAAAGAGCATGTGAACTAATTGATCTTTCTTCAAATGAACCCAGTCTTCAGTTTTATGTTTCTAAGCAATGGGTAAACAGGTTCAACACTTTTGCAGAACCTGGACCTATTGATAATTCTGATTTTCTGTGCATTCATGGAGGTGTACATCCATCTAAAGCAGGACAAATGGATCAGCTTTGTACTATTCTTACTCAACCTGTTTGGGAATATTTATATGAAACGTAAGATTCTTCTCTTTCAAACTCGAAACAACAATTTATGAAAACACTATTTTCTAATAGAGCTATAATTGATTGCTAATAACTGAGGCTCCAATTTTGGTGCAGTTTAAAATGTGATAATATTCCATAAAGTAAGTACAGTCCAAAAATAAAAACATGAAGTTGAAATTTCCCTTTCTGATCTAGAAAACAAATAGTAACATGTTCAACTTATACAAATGCTAATGAGAAGTGGTAGATGAGAAGTGATGGACAAATTATACAAAATAATATGTTTGTAGAATGGAGATTTGAGTGGGCTCCTCTTTCTCAGGAGCAGGAAATAGGGCTTTGCTTTAAGGTTTCTCCTTGGGACCCAATTCTGTGAATATCTTAACTTTATTTATTAATTTATTATTTCCTTTGAAATACATTGTGTAGAGTTCAAGGGAATAAAAGAAGAAAATAAATAAATAGGGAAGTCATAGCTTTCGTAACTTTATATTCACTATTAAGAGACATTCAAAGAAAAAAATTAGTCCTAATTGGTTAAAAATACCAACATTGAGATAAGCAGTTCAATCCATTATTAATCATAAGTTATGTAGTATTCAGCATGTTCCAGAAACATGGAATTTTATGCAGTGCAAATATGCACAATATAATTTTGAAATATTCATCTAGACTGATAGAAAAAATAACTCATGACTTCTTCAATCAAGCAGAAGAATATGTAATGGTATAAAACTTAAAGCCCTATTAATAACCATTTTGTGTGAAGGCCTTTCTGTGTGTGCATGCATGCATGCACACACATGTTGTATGAAAATGTCATTTATGAACCATTTTTGAATGAAAGGTATAATGCGTACCTACTATTTTAAAACTCCTCCCTGCATCCACTCTCCACTTTCTTCCCTCCTTCTTTTCTTCTGCCATGAAAAATTGTTTTATTTTCTTTTAATATTTTTTCTATTAATTAGTTGTGCTATTTCAATTGATAATGAACTTATCAATGTAGACAAAATTTACGGTTTATGTAGTAACTCAGTGCTGAGCAAATGTTGCACACTTCGTCACAATTGACTCTATTACTCTACCTTCATTCACATTAGCATCCATGAATTTGTAGTACAAAATGTATATGACATTATTTTGAAGTGGGTGTCATTGACAAAATTTGATAAACATTATTGTTTAAAAGTATTTTTATATGAAAAACCAAAATGATCACATGAAATTGATTGTATAAAATAAAATTTGATCTTTCAGTTTTGGAGGAGGACCAGCTTGCAACTTTCTCTATGCATGTACTGTGTGTTTAGAAGAGCAAGAAGCTCTCCAACGTCGAGTTAAACAGGAATTGGATGAATTTTTACAGCTGAACAAAGAATTCCAGGTAAGAAATACAAATACAGATTTTCTCTTAGTTTGATTTTTCTGATTCCATTTTTGCTATGTATTCCACAAATTTGTCCATTTTTATATTAAAATAAATGGAATTTCATTGATTGATAGGCAGATGAAAGCCCTTCTGTCATATATGCTATATCAATGAGTTGGTTTCGCCAATGGCAGAGTTTTGTGAGAGGGAAAGAAGCAGAGCCTCCTGGTGCAATTGACAATTCTCCTATAATTGTCAACAAAAATGGGCAAACAGGAGTGAAAATGGGTAAAAAGGACATTGTTATAATTCCAAATTTTGTATATTATTCATTTGTGTCTGTTTAACAAATTTCATTCTTGATTTAAAGGTTCCGACTATGCTCAATTATCAGAGGAGCTATGGAATTTTTTCCACCGCATATATGGTGGAGGACCTGAAGTAATGACACGATCACCATATCCTCGAGGGCTATCCTCAGGATGCTCAACAGCAAGTTCAGGCAGTAGAACTTGCCTGTTTGCGGATGCTCCAGGAAACAAACCTACAGTGAATGCAGACAGAGAACTTATTCATTCACATAAAGCTCGGAGTACAGAAAATATAAATATTGGTAATTATTTTCGCTCTGCCCAAAATATATGTGTGTGATCTCTGTGTGTATTTGTTCTGTGTTATCTTGAAATAAGGAAATGTTATAAGCAAAAGAAATATAAAGAACTCTCCCACTAATATTTGATGATAATTGGCTTAAATGATAGAATTAAACTGTCATAAAATGAGCTTTGTCTTTTCCTATTTTAGTATGTTTTAATTGTTTTTGAACAAGTTGTCATTTATTGGTTTTAATTTAAAGGCAGAGTTAAATGTCAAAAATACTAATGGTTAGTAAATACTTTTAAAGTGACAATCTCCCTGTAACCATCAGTTGCAGTTTTGAACCTCCCAAAGCCCACAGGATGTTGCACTGACTGAACTTCAGAGAGAGGCAGCATGTTACTCTGCAGACCAGCAAATCTCTAAAACCAAGGAAGGATGCCATCAATATAATTTTTTAAAACTAACCATCCTTTTAACAAGGTGCAGCAAAACGTGCTCAATACGGAATCTCAAGGAACCAGCATTTTTTTCCATATTTGAGGAGATTCTGCATTATGTAATGTAGTACTGTAGAATTTATGATTGTCAGGACCGTGATTTAAGTTCGCATTAGACAAATTTCAGCGTTCCGCACAGACAATATGTTCTGCATTGAGTAAGTTTTACTGTATATACTGTCTTCATCTGGTTCTTTTGTTTCATTAGAATGACATTTGAATTTTAAGGAACACTGCCAGTAAATTTCTTTTTTATAACATGTGACATTTCACTGCTGTCAGTATCCTTCTTGGGCCCAAAATATTAAGAACTAAATTTTTGTAATTAAGTACTTATTAAGACCTTTGTAATTTGAATTGATGAGTATTATATCTACCCAATTTCAGAACCAATTTTTCTGCTACATGTTTCATGCTCAAAACATCCATAAAAGTTCCTTGGTACAAACCAAACCAAATGAAATGCCAGTGTTATTAGCTACTTTTCTAATTGCAATTTGGTGATTGGACATAATCATTTCCTTCACTTTTCAATTTGTCATCTGTTGTTCATCTGCTGGGGTGGCCAGGGTGCTCGACGTCTTCAACGTGTTCAGTACTTATGTCTTTAAAACTTTTGTTGGACTAGTAAATGCTTATTTTATTTGTAGAAGACTCTCAAATACATTTCAATTACAGTGCTGCATTTTCTTTCGTTAAGCCAAATTTAATGTAAATTCTTAGTTCCTTTTTCTTGCAACTAAAAGAATTACCAAACACACCATAACACACAGCCAGTTTGACAGTCAACAATGAAGTAAGCATCCAGAATGATTACTGCTGTCAAGATAGATCAGGGAGAAGTGTTGGAACACATAATGGAACATCATGACAATTGAGCTTACACATTCTGCAAAATAGAAAATTTTCATGTACTATTTGATCACCTTTATTATTATCCTAGATATAGTATTCAGCTAACGTGTGTGTGTCTGTCCATCCATCCATCAGACTGTCACACATGGTTAGATCTCTTCCAGTCCACCATTTGGGGCAAATTTGGGCAAAAGAGATTCCATTTGACAAGTCTTTCCCCGTTGGTAGGAAACTGAATCCTTTTTTCAAATTATTTAAGTGTGTTCTAAAATATTTATCAAAAGAAGTATATTGAGTGTTTTAGCTCCTAAAAAGAAACTTTGGAGCAGTTTTAGGTACCTACAAAGAAAAAATGAATTAGTATCACTATTTTGGCTGCATCCTTCTAGAATATGACAAAAGAAAGAACATGTCTTTGGGAAATTTGAAAGTGCCAATGGTGGTGAAAGATTTTGAATGATCATACTGCATTTAGACCTGATTGATATGCTTGATGATAGTGAAATGAAAACTAATTACATAATTCAAAGGGGGTAGTGAAACAAGGGAGAAATCCCCCCGAGGATATAAAAAGTTTTATGTTGAAAATTTATTTGAAGTGTAAGGGCACAAACCTTCTCGTACTAGTTAATTTTCTGATTTTCTAATTTCTTTTGATCTGGTCTATCTGCACACCATTTAGCAAACCCATCTAACGGATTCTGTAGCTGTATCTTGAGATGACTCAATAACTCTAAACGCCTTGAGATCATCAGCAATTTAAAGTGTGCAAGATCCTAATTGAATCTCGCAAAATCACATGCCGGGAGTCTGGTTTTGAGAGCTTAGAGCTTGCCCCGGCTGGGTCGGTGCACTTCTGATGGGAGATACCTGGTTGGGGAACCTCGATAGCAGACAGTAAGTCGGCACCGGATCTCAATCCAGCGGGGGGAAATCACATCATCTGAGAAAAACGTGCCCAACGCTTATTGGACCAATGACCTCAGTAGTTGACGCACCCAGAAAAATAATCAACCAACAATCTGACAAAACTAAAGCGAAGTGCAAGTTACACAGAAATTCATTAATCATAGAAAAATTCACAGAGGAACAGCTATAGACTCAGTCCCCATCCAAATATTCAAGTTCTGCAGAAGAATCATAAAATAAGCATGAAAGTGGATGATCAGTAAAGACTGTATTCCTGTGTAACTGCACCTTTTCTTTGCTAATACGAAATTGTATGCAACCTTGACAGAAATTTGAATCTTGAATTGAATTAATGCGTTATTTTATGTGGTGAGACTCGAGCCATCAGGCCCGCTCCTCCGAGTGACCACAGAAATGTCGCTATGCTCCTTTCACCAATTAGCAGAGAAAGGAGGTATTTCTTGGGCGAGAAATAGGCAATTTAGATTTAGTTCAGGGGCGTCATTTAGGCTTGAGTATCTTTTACATGCTAGTAAATCTACTATCATGGGACAGCCGGCTTTACTTCCCCTTCGAAGGAAGGCATATGAAGGATTTTTTGCCCTTAGAAATCCACGGCTTCGATTGGGTTAAAACCCGCGAATATATGGCATAGCCCAGCAGTGCATTGGGGTGGTCTGAAAACTGAAAGCCATTTAATATGTATCAATTCTGCACTTTGTTGCTCTATGGACTGAGCATCTATACCTTTCATCATGCTATATTGTCTATTTAAAATGTCTGAGTTCATTGCAGCTGGGATATGCAGTGTTACCAAGAACTAGGGCCGTGGCCCATGGTTGCAACTGTTCAGCCATTGCTGTGTTTTGAGTCTCTTCCCAATCGGATCATTTATCTGTTTTGTCAGTCTTTGCAGAATTCACAAACACAAGACTGCATATGCAGGTCGCATTTAACCTTACGTCTCGGCACAAAGTTTAGTGGCAATTACTCTGTGTTTCAAATTCATAGAATTTCTTATGAAAAGGTGTTACCCTGGGAGGCACAAGAGAGAATGAACACGGTTTTTAACTGCTTTCAACTGCATGCACACATACGTCAGAGTGAGGCATGATAGAATGACAAATTTAAATGTACTAGTTTTACTGTCTGAAACATATATTATTTGAAAGAATGTATAATCATTTCTCAGTAAATAATTTGGAAATATATATAATTGTAAATTATAATGAAAACAATTAAGAACATTTCTTCTGTAACTTAATTATTTTTGATTTAAGGTATATTTTTATATTTATGCTCATTTAATTTTTGTGTGCAAATAATATTTAAAATATCAAATATGACTTGTTACTATATACTACAAAATAAAAAAAAAAAAAATCCACAAACATCAGAATATTTCATTCATGGTTAACATTGCATTGAAAATATAGAATAAGTTGATAAGTGGATTAATTGGAGTTTTAGGCTACGTAAACACTGTTTTGCAAAGTTTTGACCTTTTTATTGTATGTTTTTGCAGATTTTGGTGTTTCTACTTCACGAGTTAAGAGTTTTACTGCACAAAAATCTGGTCTTTAATGATAAGCATCAGCTGACACAATTCCCCCACACGAGTCAACTAGATGATCTCTGCTGATAATGAATATCAGGTCCAACATAAAGTTGTTACAATTATTTATCACCTTTTGTGAAAAAGATTGAGACAAATCAGCCAATTCATTTGCACAAGTTTTTTCTCACATAGTCACACCAATCCCCCAAACCGGAGTTTGTGAAAGTACTGGCATTCCATTTCACGCTGGGTAAATTAAAGCTACCAAACATCCAATTAGCCACCAGGTAATCTAAATTAAGATTTTCAAGATTCAAAGTATGAGATATAAAATATACTGGTCTTTATCTTACCGTGCAACCCATGACTGATAGCACTTCTTCTTGTTTTGGCAATTTGACAACTGCGTGTCTTTGCCTCCTTTCAAGGCAGTCATGGCATGTCGAGTCAGCAGAGCTGCAGCAAGCTGTTTCTGTTTTTTCCTTCAAGTGTTTTGGCGGCCAGGTACCTGGCTTACCAGAATCTTTTCACACTGCATAGGGTGGTTGGGATGAGGTGGGCAGAGACAAGTGGGAAAACAAAAGTCTCTTGGCGATTCTGTCCAGTATGTTCAAGAAACAAAACTGTAATACTGAAGATGTGGATGGAAGTAATGACTTGATTTATCAATTTATAAACAGCAACATAATTATAATTATTATTTAATGCAAGTAGGTTCAGAGAGAAATCACAAAAATATTTCGCGAAACATTACTGCCAAGCTTTTTAGTTTTTATACAAATAACAATATATTATTATTATTAGTATTAGTATTAGTATTATTATTGGTATTATTATGGAACCTGCAAATTAAATAAGAAAATCTTAATAAAATTAATAAAAACATTAATATCATAAATAAGTAGTAAGTTAATATATATTGCATATGAATAATAAAAAATAATAAAATATTATTACATTAAAATGGCAATAAACTGACCTTCAAGTACTTTTCACAGTGTAGTGGCTGAAACACACAGAAGAGTAACAAGGACAAATTAACTGCATTCTCTTTCTTCCAACTAAAAATAGCCACATTCTGTCTGCCTGAAATGTGAAGGTACGCTGCTGGGGGTTGCTAAAAGTGAAAGGGATGGTGATCGTATTTTATGCATTGCCAAATTGTCTGGATGGTGTTCCCTGATATGGGTAACAAGTTAAGAGTAAACACCCGATATTAACAGTCGCTAAAGGAGGGAAAGAGATGCAATCAACAATCACATGCTGACTTTGCAGGCTAAGGTGAACAGTTGTTCCACATCATTTGAGAAAATGAACTTCAAGCTTTTGTTCACATTCTTCACACTGATAAGAACACAACCTCTACAATATGAACTATTATTCATATTCCTATAATTTTTATAAATTACATAATAACTTAACTTTAATTTGGTAGTCAAAATATCTGGGACCAACCAAGTTTCTGTGACAACAATAACATCATAATGGCCGAATATAAAACAAACCTTTCTAAACATTTTATCTTGGTGGTGTGTTTTGCTGTATTAGCTTCATCAATAACAAAATCTTTTTATTATTATTATTAATTTATTAATGGTGGCAGCAACAAGCAAAAAATTGACTATCCAGACAATCCTTAGCTTAGCTCAGAGTTTCCTTTTGTATTCAAAGTGCGGGAAGTGTATTCCATGTATTTACCACTCGGTTCACAATAAAATGGGAACATTGTCCTGTCCTTGTTCTCTCTTTCACCAGTTCCAACGCGTGTCCTCTAAGTCTAGACTCCGTGGCTTTAATGAAAAAGTAGTCGAATACAGGAACGTTATAAAATCCTTTCAGGATCTTAAACATTTCTACAATATCATTTCTACTTCTTCTCTTTTCTAATGTTAGAAGAGATATTTCTCTGCATCTTTCTTCATAATCAAGTTGACGTAGTTCTCTAGGGATCTTTGTAATCTGCCTTTGTACTTTTTCAATATATTTTTTATCTTTCTGATAATAGGGGGGACCAAACCACATTAGCATACTCTAGTTTAGGTCTGATATATGTTGTGTAGATCAGTTTCACCATAGATGGACGTAATGTAGAGAATGTCTTTCTAATCAGGTATAGTAGTTTATTGGCTTTTTTAGTAACGGTAAACACTTGGTTATCCCAATTCAGATTTTGAGTGCCCAATTCAGATAATGCCAAGATCATTTTGTTCTGTCGTAGAGTTGAAGATGTGATTTCCAATCTTCCAATCTTGGCGGACCATTCAAATACTTGATGGTTTTAACTCTACCACTTTCATTCAAAATATGTTGATGCTGCATACTTTTTAGTGGAGTTCACTGTAATTTAGTTTAGTGAGTGTTAATTTTAATTGGATTGACACATTGAATCTGTGTTGAGAATAGTGAAAACAAGATTAGGATCATATAGAGTAACTTTGATAAGATGACTCTTTGCCCGTGTCAAATGTACCCAATCTCACAAAATTGTTAGTCATGATCCTCAACAACACAATCTCTCAAGATTTTTAAGACAAGTTCGCCCTCCACTCTTTTTAGTGCAGTTGAGTCAGGGTTTCAAATTCGTTAACATTATAAACTAGTGGTACTAAAACATCACATATATTCTCCCCCTTAGTAATAGTTATTTAATACTATTTTTACCACAATCTCTGTGTGAATTAACACATCTCAGTCTGAATAATCACGTCTTATTCATCCCTTTTTCTAAAACTCAATACAAATTATAAAACATTAGTTTCAAAAACCTAATATTTTAAGCAAATATCAACACAAATTTGACAATTAAAACTGTTTCATACAGCTAAATTATGTCTCAACAATAAGTTGGAATTCACAGAAATAATTAACCATAGTAACAAGTAAATTACTTTATCTTGTCACCGTTCAATGAACTTCTAAAAATAACTATCACCGAGTTGTTGTTCAAGGCAGTGTACGGTGGTAACATGAAACTAAAGTTAAATAAAAGTTCATACAAATTTATTATTAAGTTTTTTCAGTTTTTCTTTGATCTTACATTTAAATCATGTTTTTAAGAGAGAAAACCTAATTGAGCTAATTTCAATTAAGGTTTCTGGATTGCTTGTAAGAACATTGAGAATACATTCCTTGCAGCATACATTGAGAATACTTTCCTTTCAGCATTCATTGAGAATATATTCCTTGCAGCATAGATTATCAAGTAGATTTTCAATCATTTCTTTTTGATTAATTTGTAAATGTATAACAAATGTTCGAATGCAAGAAACCAACAAAGAACTTTGTTTGATACACAAACTTGTAGCATCATTGTGCCTAGAATCACAAACTCATGTTATGTTCACGAAGTGCAGAAAATTTGAAGCCGACATCTATGTTTGACTCCAAATTTCACATAAATACTCTTATTTTCGAAAAATTCAGCATGATCATATTTGGAGATCTGTTTTTGATAAAACACATTTCAAACTAGTTGTGCTGCAAAAAGACACAGAATTACTACAGTATACTAAAGAGTCACTACACTGCCCTCACCAAAATCAAATTTAGCAGTGTGTGCTTTGATGTATAATCTCTGTGTTCAGAGCACCAGCACCTTCCAAGATCTTAATTTTGTTTGTCAAAACTTTCATGTTCACATAACCCCCCTTCCCCATACTTTTGCGAAAATGGAGAATTTCTTTGTTCTGAAAAATCAGAGATAAATTAATAATTTTAGAACAATAGTTTGAAGTCAGAGAAATCTTTGCAGGCTAGATGTTATCCTTCATAATATTGATTCATTGTTATATTCAACACTTCTTATTTTGCAGTAAGTTGTGTTAATTTTGTTTTTAATTATAGTGTGTTTGTCTCTCTCTCAAAGCCTCTGAAATGCCTCATAGAAAAGGGCTCAGTTTATAATAAGTGTTTTACTATTGATACAAATTCTACTTTATTTGATATTTTATCCAACTACTACATAAATTTTGTTGGGGAAAAATAAAAAGTAAGTCCTGAAAAACCAGGAAATGGCACTGACAATAAGAGTGGCTTTCCTGTATCCTATCTTTGGCTTCAACTGGCAAATGCAGTTTTATTGGTTTCTTTTTTGGTTAAGTAAAACAGTTGTGTTAACTTTGCAAACTGCTAAATATTTGAAGTACTAGCTACCTTGTAGGGCCTGTGAACAGTTAATAAATTATTACTTTGTACACAGATTTAATGGCCATGATTGATTTATGAAATGTGGAAGTTTTCATAATTGAAGTAAGAGTAATTACTTTTTGCAATAGGATCAGAGTATTTTGTTATTTCTTGGACATCCATATTACAATATATAAAGTATTATTTCTGTTTTTGTTACTATAATCAAGCCCAAAGAACAAAAATCTCCCACAAGGAAGATTTTTCTTACAGTACTTTAGACATTCGTGTATTGTGGGTTCCTCAGTTTTGAAGTGAGAATTGTGCAAGGTCCCTCCATGACAAAGGCAAGGGACAGTCATCCACACACAAGGTGGGATTCAAGCTGTTAACCCGCACTGTGGACAAAAAGATTGCGCGTGAGCATATGTTGTTAAAATAATTTATTGAGCCTAGCCCACCATTTCCACCTATGTTTTTGTGAAACCTTTTAGTGTCATGTGTCATTGTTTAAAATAGTCATGGATTAGGACTCTAGAGAGGTATAGATTTTTTGTTTAAACCTGGCCCTAGAACTTGATACTCATAAGTAATCATGTTTTTCATATTTTATGCATTTTGTACGTGATATTTGTTGAGAAATTCATAAGTATGTAAATGAAAGAAATTCAGTCATGTTACTTAAATTTCAATTTTTGTAAATAACTTATAAACACATTAAGTTTGCTGGAATGGGAAAATTCATGCACAAGTTTGAATCATTTTTTTTTCATTCAATGCTACAGGCTTCACCAATGTTACTGGGCGACCTGTGCGAGCTCAAAGTGCTAGTTCAGACAATATAAATCTTAGAATGGCTGCTTTGACTGCATCTGGGCACAGGAAAATGCAAGATGGTGTAGATGGGGCAAGACAACAGTGCAGCCTCATGTTGGGTAAGAATGGACTAGTTTCTGTTTCTTAGGTTTTGTGTCCTTCTATTTTCAATATAATTTTTATGACTTCATGTTATCTGAAATGTTATTAATTACTTATTTTTTATTTTAGTTTGTATTATTACCTAAATATTTAACCTTTCTGTGACTAGCTGACATTCATAATGTGAGTTGTCATGTGCACTACTATTGTAGTCCATTTTTAATAACAATTACTTAACTTATGAAAGAAAAGTTGAATTTTGTGTGTATGTGTGAGGTGGATGAGGGTGTGTGTGAAAGTGAGTATAAGGTAATGAATATAAGCAAAGTGGTGATTGTTACAAGTTCATTTATTAAAGTATGTAATTTATTAATAAACTAGCTTAATTTAGTATGATGCTTCCTCTTCATTCTCTCTGTCTGTCTCTCTCCCTCTGTCTGTCTGTCTCTCTCTCTGTGAGATTTGGGGGAATAAAAAAATTCGGGCACGGTTCGTTTGAAATGTACACACTTTGCTCTTAGTTTACACCAAGGAAAGGTTCTAATTATTTCTATCTGATATTAGGCCCCAAGTATGAATTATTTCCGTTAATGTGTTAAAGCTTGACTTCCTGGCTGAAGAGGACACTGCACAACCATACTCAATTTTGGACATTACCATAGATTTGTAGAGTAGACATCTCTATCTGCTCCCCAATTAGAATGAGAAATGCATCTGATTACATTCAGAGCTGTTCTGCGTCTAGACAAGATATTCCCCTGCTGTTTTCAGGTTAAATGTGCCAATGATCAAACTGAAAAATTTTCACATTTTGTTGAGCACCATTTAGTTCTAGATCTTTGTATCTTTTCCGTTTCCTACGGAAGTGAATGCATGTGGTTTTAGCTACTGTATATGATAAACCAAAATGAATTTTCCATATTCAATTTGATCATTACCGGAGGTTTGGCTGAATAAAATAGAGCAATCCCATCTGCATACAAGCATTTTGCAATTATACCGTCAAACACCTCATTGATCGCTATTTTAAAGAACATACCACTCAATGGAGAGCTGTGCGGTACTCCATTCTCTAGTATGTATCTTTCTGAAACGGACTGCCCAACACGAACTTGAATCTGGAACTAAGAAAACTGGATGTGAATTTTGGTAGGTTTTCCCTGATTTGCCAGTTACGTAGTTGATTGAGAATGTTATATCGCCAGGTCTTATCAGAAGCTTTTTCCAGGTCAAAGAATACAGCAACCATATGCTTTCTTTTAATAAAGGTGTTCTGAATTGTGTTTTCCAGATACATTAGCTGGTCGATGGTAGCGTGATGTCGGTATCGGTCGGTGTTGACCATTTTTTCTAAGACACGACAATGAAAGATATTTTCCAGGTTTCATTGGGTCTTTAGCCTCTAAAAGTGGAATTATTATCGCTTCTTTTCAGACTTTGGGCTAATTACCTTGTTTCCAGACGTTATTATAGTCAACGTATTATGAAGTTATGCGGACTATTTCTTTTGGGAATCAACGTAGTGTTACGAATATTGCGTCATCTGCCGGCGCCCCTTCGCTCCCCCCCGAACTAGACGGTTCCGGACTATCCGCGAGCCGCGGGAAACGCCGAGAATGTGCCGGGTG